GCTGAAAGTGAAAACCGCGTAAAGTGAACAACAGAACATATGGGATTAATTCCAATAGAGATTGGCCCGACCCCCAAACTCCACTTTTTCAGACACAATACCTACGTTGTAGTAAAAAAACATCTTAATTTTATGATGGTATGCACACACAATTAATAATTAAGAGAAATATCAATAATATTAGGTTTTTTAACACTTACATTAGTAGAAAAGATGGCTGAACACACGGGGATGGGGGGTTGGTTACGAGGCAGAGGGCAGATTATTGGCCCTCACCTGTATCACTTGTATTAATTGTATCACTATCCACCACATAGGCTTGCAGGGCCTCTTTGTCAAACCCCTCAAAGTCCATATAAGTCCATATCCTCACTATCACTGACTTGGGCCGGCTGTGGTGGTGAAGAACTCGGTGATGTTTTGATGACTAGGCGACCTTGTGCGCATCCTGCCCGCGCCGCTTCCCGCGCATATGAGTAGATGCACCGCGTAAAGTGAAAGTCCGGTTCTGGCGAGGTACCGCGTAAATGCGAAATCGCGGAAAGTGAAACAGCGTAAAGCAGGGTATTACTGTATTGGAAAAATAACATCTCGGTTATCCTTTATTTACGACAAAATATTACAATAGAAAAGTCTTCGAATTGTCTAAATATTCTGAAAAGCATAGTTATAACACCGAGAGATAGAACCAAATACTGTATAGTTCTCCCACTGTTGCCAGTAATGGATGATTAGCCAATCAGAGCCCACTCATGGGAAAATAGTGTTAGTAGGAACTTAGCCAGTCACGGCAAAATATCCACTGCCATAATAATAACATCACCTTACTGATATTGTTACTTCACTATAGTACTGGGTAAATATTGACGACTGACCCATGGACTAGTTATTTATTTTACTGTTTATTTTCATCAGAGAGTTCTAATAAGATAATAATTTCTTGTGCAAATGCTTCCTTTTGTAGATAATTAGGCGCCTAAGGTGCACTACTTTGTTTTCCTGGCAGTAATGAGGCAGTGCTCTTTGCCACACTCGCCCCTCAATCCTGTGCCAGTTTCATTTTCAGCATGGCATGTGAAGGTTGTTGCCGGTCTTGTGCTACAGTTCTAGTGCTTATATAGGAACTTTTCACGGCTTAAAAATGCAAAGTTTGCAAAGTCAGTTTTATATGACGAATTTCAAAACACTCAGTCGCCTAGGCTGGATCAACGCTGATGTGGCCAGCTGGGGTATTACTAATTACCCAAATGTACCCAAATGTAGCCGCAATGAAGTCAAATAATGGTCCTACATGAATAAATCGGGTTACCAATCACTTCTCGACTAGCATTTGGTGTCACAAAGTAAAGAAAAAATTGGAAAACGTAATTTAATTTGAGTTAATAGATCGCGTGCATGTACCGAGGGAGCGAGTAATTACCCAAATGTACCCAAATGTAGCTGCAATGAAGTCAAATAATGGTCCTACATGAATAAATCGGACTGCTAATCACTTCTCGACTGGTATTTGGTGTCACGAAGTCACAAAAAATTGGTAAACTTAATTTAATCTAAGTTAATAGATCAAGTGCATATACCTAACCTAACCTAATCTAACCTAACCCAACACAACTCAGATTAAATTAAGTTTACCAATTTTTGTGACTTTGACACCAAATAATAATCGAGAAGGGATTCACAGCCCGATTTACGCTTGTACGACCATCATTTGACTTCATTGCGGCTATATTTGGGTACATTTGGGTACATTTGGGTAAATACTCTCTCCCTCGGTACATGCACGCGATCTATTAACTCAGATTAAAGTAAGTTTTCCAATTTTTTGTGACTTTGTGACACCAAATACTAGTCGAGAAGTGATTAGCAGTCCGATTTATTCATGTAGGACCATTATTTGACTTCATTGCGGCTACATTTGGGTACATTTGGGTAATTAGTCGGACCGGCCAGCTGCTCTCATGTCCACAAAAAACATAAAATTACACCATATAATAGTAAGTTCTTTCTGTTTAATATACGGGGTGTGGAGGGTGAAACCCCCAGTAAGGAAGTTAGGCAAAGTTAGTTAGGTTTGTTTGGTTAGGTTGAGGAGGTCTGTTTTTCATACCCACTAAGGTTAGGTTAGGTTTAATTTAAAAATAACCCCTTTTTAACACATTTGCACAAACTACAACAGTGTCCATTATAAAAAAAAACAGCTAAATTGCGGCATTTTTAAATTCGTTTTCTATGAAACGTCGGCTGCAGGTCAGTCGTCAATAATTAACCTATACTGCACCTACACCATCTAGGTTACTGTATACCTACCCTGTGTACTGTACACTACACTTACACCATCTAGGTTACTGTATACCTACCCTGTGGACTGTACACCACACTTACACCATCTAGGTTACTGTATACCTACCCTGTGGACTGTACACCACACTTACACCATCTAGGTTACTGTATACCTACCCTGTGTACTGTACACCACACCTACACCATCTAGGTTACTGTATACCTACCCTGTGTACTGTACACCACACTTACACCACCTAGGTTACTGTATACCTACCCTGTGTACTGTACACCACACTTACACCATCTAGGTTACTGTATACCTACCCTGTGTACTGTACACCACACCTACACCATCTAGGTTACTGTATACCTACCCTGTGTACTGTACACCACACTTACACCACCTAGGTTACTGTATACCTACCCTGTGTACTGTACACCACATCTACACCATCTAGGTTACTGTATACCTACCCTGTGTACTGTACACCACACCTACACCATCTAGGTTAATGTACACCACACCTACACCATCTAGGTTACTGTATACCTACCCTGTGTACTGTACACCACACCTACACCATCTAGGTTACTGTATACCTACCCTGTGTACTGTACACCACACCTACACCACCTAGGTTACTGTATACCTACCCTGTGTACTGTACACCACACCTACACCACCTAGGTTACTGTATACCTACCCTGTGTACTGTACACCACACCTACACCATCTAGGTTACTGTATACCTACCCTGTGTACTGCACACCACACTTACACCATCTAGGTTACTGTATACCCACCTGTGTACTGTACACCACACTTACACCATCTAGTTTGCTGTACCTACCCTGTGTACTGTACACCACACTTACACCATCTAGGTTACTGTATACCTACCCTGTGGACTGTACACCACACTTACACCATCTAGGTTACTGTCTCCACGTGTACTGTACCACACCTACACCATCTAGGTTACTGTATACCTACCCTGTGTACTGTACACCACCACACCACCACCCAGGTACTGTAACCACCACCTGTGTACTGCACACCACACTTACACCACCTAGGTTACTGTATACCTACCTGTGTACTGTACCACACCTACACCACCTAGGTTACTGTATACCCACCCTGTGTACTGTACACCACACTTACACCACCTAGGTTACTGTATACCTACCCTGTGTACTGTACACCACACTTACACCACTAGGTTACTGTATACCTACCCTGTGTACTGTACACCACACCTACACCCACCTAGGTTACTGTACCTACCCTGTGTACTGTACACCACACTACACCACCTAGGTTACTGTATACCTACCCTGTGCTGTACACCACATCTACACCATCTAGGTTACTGTATACCCACCTGTGTACTGTACACCACATCTACACCATCTAGGTTACTGTATACCTACCTGTGTACTGTACACCACACTTACACCATCTAGGTTACTGTATACCTACCCTGTTACTGTACACCACACTTACACCATCTAGGTTACTGTATACCTACCCTGTGTACTGTACACCACACCTACACCATCTAGGTTACTGTATACTGTCACACCACACTTACACCATCTAGGTTACTGTATACCACCTGTGTACTGACACCACACACACCAGGTTACTGTATACCTACCCTGTGTACTGTACACCACACTCCATCTAGGTTACATACCTACCGTGTACTGTACACCACACCTACCACCCTAGGTTACTGTATACCCACCCTGTGTACTGTACACCACACTCACACCATCTAGGTTACTGTATACCCACCCGTGTACTGACACCACACCTACACCATCCTAGGTTACTGTATACCTACCCTGTGTACTGTACACCACACCTACACCATCTAGGTTACTGTATACCTACCTGTGTACTGTACACCACACCCACACCATCTAGGTTACTGTATACCTACCCTGTGTACTGTACACCACACCTACACCATCTAGGTTACTGTATACCACCCCTGTGTACTGTACACCACATCTACACCATCTAGGTTACAGTATACTGTACACCACACCTACACCATCTAGGTTAATGTACCACACCCACACCATCTAGGTTACTATACCTACCCTGTGTACTGTACACCACACTCACACCACCTAGGTTACTGTATACCTACCCTGTGTACTCAACACCACATCTACACCATCTAGGTTACTGTATACCTACCTGTGTACTGTACACACCTACACCATCTAGGTTAATGCACACCACACCTACACCATCTAGGTTACTGTATACCTACCTGTGTACTGTACACCACACCTACACCATCTAGGTTACTGTATACCTACCCTGTGTACTGTACACCACACCTACCACCACCTAGGTTACTGCATACCTACCTGTGTAACCACACACCACACCTACACCACCTAGGTTACTGTATACCTACCTCGTGTACTGTACACCACACCTACACCATCTAGGTTACTGTATACTGTACACCACACACGCTGAACTGTATACCTCATAGTTTACAAACAAGTTGAACCAATTGCAAACCTGTATGGTAAGAGTAAGGAATAAATATTACGGCAAAGACTGAACCAGCAGGAGGTGACTTAATCCATTGTTCAAAATTAATGTATTCCACTAGTACTTAGCCTCACTCTCATGAATGCCAATATGTGTATGAACTAAGCATAAGACCGTGGTGTGTGAGTTACTGTACCTTAACATGTTCAGAGAGGTTCAAGAAGCTGGCACAGTTGGCGGCTGCTCGTCGTGTTACTACAAGTCTGCCCTAAACTCCACACCTAACTCTCCACACACGCATCTTGCACTTATTTTATTATTACTAGATTCAAGTTGAATTATACTTAGAAAATGAAACAGAATACTAAAGATATTTTAGAAATAAATAAACTGGAATTTTAAGAAAATTATTAATTCAATCAAGGTAAATGTGTGTAGTGCGCTTATCGTTTTTACCTTGGCACCTTCTTTAAGCGCCCACTGTGTTTGTTCGCCTAAACGACTGATATTCTTCACATAATAAAAAATTAACAATTAACACTCACGATTTTGTCTAATAAATAAATAAGTCTTCATTGTTAATATAGATAAAAGAAAATTTACATTTTGCTTTTAAAGCCTGACCACAAAAGTAATGATAAAATTTCACCTATTAACACTGAACAATATTTTGAATTTTATACTTTTTACTTTTACTTTTATCCTCTTCACCACTGATCGGCTCGTTAGTCGCTTGGGCGATCAGTCACATCTCTGTTACTTTTCCTTTTCTTTTATCCTCTTCACCAAATGATCAACTCGTTAGCCACTTGGGCGATCGGTCACGTCTCTGTCACGCACTGTTGGCAAGTACTGGGCATGCACCGGCTCCTGAATGTACCTGAACCCGCTCCACTGTTGGTCAAATCTTGTCTAGAGAGAGCTCACACTCGGTACCGTCATCAAACTTTCTGGTAGATTGTTCCAAGAGTTCACAACTCTCACTCCGAAAAAGTTTGCCCTCTTTTTTACTTTTATCCTCTTCGCCACTGATCGGCTTGTTAGCCGCTTGGGCGATCGGTCACGTCTCTTTTCATTTATCTTCTTCACCAAAACATCGGCTCGCTAGCCGCCCGGGCGATCGGTCACGTCTCTGTCACGCACTGTTGGCAAATACTGGGCATGCACCGGCTCCTGAATGTACCTAAACCCGCTCCACTGTTGGTCAAATCTTGTCTAGAGAGAGCTCACACTCGGTGCCGTGACAACACTCTCTGGTAGATTGTTCCAAGGTTTACAATCCTCACTCGAAAAAGTTTGCCCTCACGGTTTCTGGACTTGCAGCTTCCTCAATCTTGGCTGTGACCCCTTGTGGGGCGAGCGTCCACCAGCTCAAGTAAGGACACTCAACTGAGTAGTACCCCTGAGATGCGTACACCTCAACTCAGGTTTGCCCCGTCTGTAGTATAAGCTAGGCAAATTCAGGCGCTCCAGTCTCTCAGGGTAGCTGAGGTGCCGAGTGCAGGCACCAGTCTGGTGGCCCTCCTTTGAACATTTTCAACCAACTGACAGTCCCTAACATATCTCGGGGACCAGACGGGGTGACAGTACTCCAGATGAGGAAGCACTTCACTCTTGAAGATCGTTACGAGGGACGGGCCGTCTGTGAAGAGCTGCAGAAGGACCTCTGTGGGCTCAGGAATGGTCGAAGAAATGGCTGCTGAGATTCAATGTCACGAAGTGTAAGAGGATGCACCTGGGGCGTACCAACGGTAAGGAAGCGTATCATATGTCCCAACGGGATGAAGAAACTGCACTAGTTGAGGCTGTGTGTGAGAAGGACCTAGGTGTGTATGTTGACAATGAGCTGAAGTTCTCCGGCCATTGTGAGAAGACGGTAAATCAGGCATATAAATTATTGGGTCTTATAAGAAGGTCGTTCAGATATCTAGACGGTCCGTCCCTCGTAACGATCTTCAAGAGCGAAGTGCTTCCCCATCTGGAGTACTGTCACCCCATCTTGTCCCCGAGATATGCTAGGGACTGTCAGTTGGTTGAAAATCTTCAAAGGAGGGCCACCAGACTGGTGCCTGCACTTCGGCACTTGAGCTACCCTGAGAGATTGGAGTGCCTGAACTTGCCTTGCTTATACTACAGACGGGCAAGGGAGCACCTAGTTGAGGTGTATAAGTATCTCAGGGGGCACTACTCAGTCGAGTGTCCTTACTTGGAGCTGGCGGACGCTTGCCCCACAAGGGGTCACAGCTCAAGATTGAAGAAGCCGCAAGTCCAGAAAACTGTGAGGGCAAACTTTTTTGGAGTGAGGGTTGTAAACTCTTGGAACAATCTACCAGAGATTGTTGTGACAAGACTTGAGCAACACTGGAGCGGGTTCAGGTACATTCAGGAGCCGGTGCATGCCCAGTATTTGCCAACAGTGCGTGACAGAGACGTAAACGATCGCCCGGGCGGCTTGCGAGCCGATCAGTGGCGAAGAGGATAAAAGTAAAAAAGTAAAAGTATAAGACCCAATAATTTATTTGCCTGATTTGCCTTCTTCTCGCAATGGCCCAAGAACTTCAGCTCATTGTCAACATACACATGGGTCCTTCTCACATTCAGTCTCAAATAGTGCAGTTTATTCATCCCGTTGGGACATATGATGCGCCCCTACCGTTGGTACGCCCCAGGTGCATCCTCTTACACTTCGTGACATTGAATCTCAGCAGCCATTTCTTCAACCATTCGTGGAGCCCACAGAGGTCCTTCTGCAGCTCTTCACAGTCCGCTGGTTCTTGATTTCCGAAATAACTTGGCGTCATCGGCAAACATTTAAACATTTGTATGGAGGAGTGTACAACGTCAGCCATGACATTTATGAAACAAACAAACAACAAGGGCCCAATACGCTGCCCCTGTGGCACCCCGTAACACCCGCTTGTGACAGGTACGGATGATGATTTTGCCATTAATCACCACACACTGCTTGCGGTCGTATAGAAAGTCTTCTATCCACATACAACTTAACTACATAACATCATCCATCATCAAGTACATAATTATATAACACCAGCCATCATCATCACTACATATAACACCATCCATCATCACTACATATAACATCATCCATCATCACCACATAATTATAACACCATCCATCATCACTACATACCCATCCATCATCACTATATAACATCATCCATCTTACTATAATTATAACACCATCCATCATCACTACATATAACCCATCCATCATCACTACATATAACATCATCCATCATCACCACATAATATATAACACCATCCATCATCACTACATATAACACCATCCATCATCACTACATATAACATCATCCATCATCACTACATAATTATAACACCATCCATCATCATTACAAATAACATCATCCATCATCACTACATAATTATAACACCATCCATCATCACTACATATAACACCATCCATCATCACTATAGATCGGTAAAGTAAGTTCCAAGATTCTCGTGCGGACACATAAACAAATAAACAAACAGACAGACAGACTTTTGTTTATATATATATATATATATATATATATATATATATATATATATATATATATACAGATAGATAGATAGATACCCTCTTCTGTTAACACAATGTGGGTCAGGGCTGTGTCGAATCGTCTGTACCCAAACGCAGGAAGGTTAATCGCATCCTCTCTTGTGAACACCGAAGAAAAGAAGCTGTTCAATGCCCCAGCTTTATCCTGGTCAGAGTCTGCGTAACTACCATCTTCAAGCCTCAGGTCTGATACTCCTACTCGCGTTTTTACTTTCAATTTGGTATAGCGGTAAAACGCCTTTGGGTTTGACTTGACGTCGTTTGCAACCAGCCTCAGGAACTCCTTTTCAGCCCTTCTACACTCTATCTTTGCTTGGTTTTTGGCTATTGCATACATCCTTCTGTCCTGCTCATCGTTTGACCCATCCCACGTCTTGAATGTCTGGGTTTTCTTCTTAACTTTGTGTAGGGATCCCTTTGTATTGCTAGAGGCACTGAGTTTGGTCAGCGTAGTGTCTGCGTTGTGGTGCATTAATGAGTCAGGCCAGTGGATACCTCTCATCTCTTCCCTCATCCCGTTGGAATTTCCCTTGTAATATTTGCACCTTGGCCTGGTCTTATCTTGAACTAGGTAACAGTTAAATCTGGATGACAACACTATATGGTGACTGGTGCGAACTGGGGCAAGGTGTTGAAGTTTAGCCACCATACCCTCCTCGTTTGTTATGATGAGTTATAGTGGCTTAGGTGTTTGCTCCCCTCTGTAATGTGTCGGGTCTCTAACATGTTGGAACAGAAAATTATCTCTCAGAATTTCTACAAAAAGAGTAGCAGGGTTATTCAAGTCATTTGGGGTGAACTCGTTTCTCCAGTTGACGTCACCATAGTTAAAGTCCCCCATGATAAGGAGGTGGCTAGGGTTGAGCATCGCTGCGTTGTTTATTAAGGCCCTTAAGCTCCTTTCATTTAGTGGGCCACAGTTTGGGGATCTGTAGATACACCCGACAATAAGTAAGTCTCTTCCCTTTAGTTTAGTTTTATACCACTTGGACTCTTCAAAAACATCCACTCCCTGTACCCTCGCCTGGCTGGCTCTAAGGTCTTGCCAAGCATAAATAACCACACCCCTCTCGCAAATTTCTTGAGAAAGGTTCGTAAGTGAGTCATATCCAGCAATACTGAACTCGCATTCCTCTGGGTCGATTCTCCTGTTCTTGTACAACAGTTCTACAACTCCTACAATATCTGGTTGGTGTACCTTCAGTAGTGTTTCAAAATCCTCTCTCTTAACAAGGAGCGTGTCAGTATTAGTGTACATGACATTCAAACCAGATTTTTTTTTCTCGGTAACGCCTCTGCTCTTAGTAGTAACCCCCCCCATTCTCAGAAGCTGCACCATTTGTTAAGTACACTGTATCTTGCAGGGTGTGATTAGAAATGTTTACAAGGCGCTCGCCTCCTCCCGGCTGATAGGCAAAGCTTTTTTCTTTTTTCTTTTCTTTTTTGTAGAGAAAGGAGGGGTGAAAGAAGATTAGAGGTGTGGGAAGGAAGTTACAGTTTGAAATTGAAGAAATTTAGGATGAGGTAAGAGAGGGTGGGCTGACCGCCTAGCTAAGATAATGGTGTGTTAGGGTTGTGTCTTGAGTTAGTTATTGTCTGTCGGTACAGGCACTACACATCCTGGTCTAGGGAGGTTGTCTATTGCCTGTCTGTATATATCGAGGGTGGTAATGGACCTTTTGAGATTTGGTAACTTTTTGGGAACCAT